TGTGTGAGTCATACAGTAATAGTGTGTCTTGCATTAATAATGTGGGTGAGTCATACAGTAATAGTGTGGGCAGGTCTTACAGTGATAGTGTGGGTGGGTGTTGCAGTAATAGTGTGGGTGAGTCATACAGTAATAGTGTGTCTTGCATTAATAATGTGGGTGAGTCATACAGTAATAGTGTATCTTGCATTAATAATGTGGGGGGTCTTACTATAATAGTGTGGGCGGGTCTTACAGTGATCGTGTGGGTGGGTCTTGCAGTAATAATGTGGGTGAGTCATACAGTAATAATGTGTCTTGCATTAATAATGTGGGTGAGTCATACAGTAATAGTGTGGGTGAGTCATACAGTAATAGTGTGTCTTGCATTAATAATGTGGGTGAGTCATACAGTAATAGTGTGGGCAGGTCTTACAGTGATAGTGTGGGTGGGTGTTGCAGTAATAATGTGGGCATGTCTTGCATTAATAATGTGGGCGGGTCTTACAGTAATGGTATAGTAATAGTGTGGGTAGGTATTACAGTAATAATATGGGCGGGCCTTTCAGTAATAGTGTGGGCGGGTATTACAGTAATAGTGTGGGCGGGTCTTACTGTAATAGCGTGGGCGGGTCTTGCAGTAATAGTGTGGGCGGGTCTTACAGTAATAGTGTGGGCGGGTCTTACAGTAATAGTGTGGGCGGGTCTTACAGTAATAGTGTGGGCGGGTCTTACAGTAATAGTGTGGGCGGGTCTTACAGTAATAGTGTGGGCGGGTCTTACAGTAATAGTGTGGGCGGGTCTTACAGTAATAGTGTGGGCGGGTCTTACAGTAATAGTGTGGGCGGGTCTTACAGTAATAGTGTGGGCGGGTCTTACAGTAATAGTGTGGGCGGGTCTTACAGTAATAGTGTGGGCGGGTCTTACAGTAATAGTGTGGGCGGGTCTTACAGTAATAGTGTGGGCGGGTCTTACAGTAATAGTGTGGGCGGGTCTTGCAGTAATAGTGTGGGTGAGTCATACAGTAATAGTGTGTCTTGCATTAATAATGTGGGCGGGTCTTACAGTAATGGTATAGTAATAGTGTGGGTAGGTATTGCATTAATAATATGGGCGGGCCTTTCAGTAATAGTGTGGGCGGGTCTTACAGTAATAGTGTGGGCGGCCCCTACAGTAATGATGTAGGCGTCTCTTACAGTAATAATGTGAGCGTGTCTTACAGTAATGGTATAGTACTCACTTACACTCACACAAACACACACTCACTCACAAACACTCACACTCACACACATACTCACAAACACTCACACTCACGCACTCACACACACAAGGTTTATTCACCATCTTCCTCAGCCTCATTGAACTGAACTGACACATTTTACACGCCGAAAACAGAAAGAGATCATTTCACTTTATCTGACAGATAAAAGCAAAACAAATATTTATAAATTCACACAGATTACATTTGTGAGTGATCATTCATCTCAATGACTGCGAGTATGAGAGTCACTGACACCGCTGTGTGTGTGTGTGTGTGTGTGTGTGTGTGTGTGTGTGTGAGTGAGAGAGAGAGTG